GTGCACTTTATTCTCCAGGGTTTCACCCACGTGAGCGTAGACTAAAAATAATAACAACAACTAGATCCCTCTTGTATTAGTCTCCTCCTCCTACTCACCCTGTGCACACAGAGAAAGGGGATGGTTGTTTATTTTGGGGGTGTGTGTGGGGGGTGTCTTCATTTGAAAGGCAAGGCTGAATAAATGTCTAGGATAATGATAATTTTTGATCTTCGTATAAGTGGGACGGTTTGAATCACTGAATGAATATTTCATTTAACACGTCGGACGGGGTAGGGAAAGGAAGGGATCAGTTTTCATGTGGAAGAGAAGTCCTTTGAAGGCTAATTCTGACGCAAGGGCTGGTTCTCCCTTGGACTAAGCCGGCTGGAGGGTCCTAAATCCAGCCTAAAACCGTGCAGCTGATGGCAAAGCAGCCCCCCACGAGCAGGCAGACTTTTCCCAGGCTCAGCACCATTGATCGACTCCGTCCTGGCCCGCCTCGCCACCGTTTTTTTCTACTGCCACTCCGGTGTTGATTTGGGACATTCTTCCCTGCGCTGCTCTTCGCCCTGCCTGTGGGTACAAAAACCTTAGCAGGCAGAGAGAGGCCGCAGTTGCTAGGCTGTAAGTAAACTCACGTGCTTTAAAATTGAAAGTATTTGCCGGGGACGGGGTGGGTAGGAAGGATAAGAAGCCATGCCAGTGGGAGGCGTTATTCTCTGCCCTTTGGGGGAGGCTTTCCTTCACACAAGCAGCTTTTCATGTCAAATGAAGTTTATTTCTGCCCTAATCATGGGCTGCAAAGAGACCTCTAAACCGGGGGGGGGGGTGTCCCCCAAACTTGGCAACTTTTAAGACTTGTTGGACTTCAACTCCCAGATTTCTGGCAGTTGAAGTCCGCAAGCCTTAAAAGTTGCCAAGTTTGGAGGCCTCTGCTCTGAACCCTTAAATGCTGCCCGGGGAACGCCGGGAGTTGAAGTCTGCATATTTTAAAGTTGCCCAGGTTGAAACGGTCCTTCTCAGTCAGAGGTCTGCAAACTTGTGGACTTCAACTCCCAGAATTCCTCAGCTGTTCTAGTTGCCAAGAGACGATTGGCAATTTCTGTAGGGCTACGAATTTGGGGGTTGGTGGGGAAAATCCAGAATCAGCCCTGGGTGGAAGCAAGCCTTGGCCTGCACAATTTTTAGTCCTTCCTAGCTTTGCCCAGCTTAGTTTCTTTTGGATGTCCTAAGATTTCTCGGTGTTAAGTTTATTTTCTCCAGATGTGCCACGCCTGCGCCTCGAATGCGCGCTTCAAGCTCAGCCTCGACGAAGGTATCCGGGGTTGCTGAAGGCCTTCGGCGGAAGTGGGTTTGTTGGGGTTCTGGGTGGCCAGAGGAGACCTCTTCCCTCTCGGCAGAGAACCTCGCAACTCTACCCCACAAGTGCAGTTGTGCCATAACCAAGGAAAAGAGGGTAAAATTGGTTGAATGTAAAATAAATCCCCTGAAAAACTGTTTCGAGCTGCTGAAAAAGAACCTGTAAATCTGTTCCGGGCTGGGCTCCCACCCACCCCTCAATTTTGCTGAAAATACCAAGATTGTGAGGATGGGCTACCCCTAGTGTTGACGCACAAGGCTCTCAGCTAAACAAAATGGCCGGTGGGAACTGGAGTCGGGGCTGGAGGGGACACGGGGTTAGTTGCCTGCCCCCCCGCTCCTCTTGCAGCCAAATTGTAAAAAGTATTTGTCACCTCAGCAAGAGAAATGGCAGAACATCACCCCGTCCTGCCTCCTGGTGAAATTGTCTGTAGTGGGTGTGTGTGTGTGCGCGCTTTTCCTGGCGAGCTTACTGGACATTTAGCATTATTCCAAGCATCACTACTGAACTGAGATTTCATTCCATTCTTTCGCCAGACCAGTTATTTCTCAGGCATGGTAAGTCTCGATTTCAGCTCCCAGACAGAGAGGCTGGAGAAAGCGTAGCTGGCTGCGGATCCCGGAGTTGAAGTCTGCCCAGCTCAAACGTGCCAAGTTTGAGAAACACTGTTTGATAGATCTTTTTTATTTTATTTTATGTGATGGTACTCTGAACGTTTCTGATTCGAATGATCAAGAATCTGTAGGAAGTACTGCTGTGAACTGTTCTCAGGAAGCTGAAGGGCTCCCCAAACTTGGCCCCTTTAAAACTTGTGGACTTCAACTCCCAGAATTCCCCAGCTGGCTACGCAGGCTGGGGAATTCTGGGAGTTGAAGTCCACAAGTCTTAAAAGTGGCCAAGTTTGGAGACTCCTGACCTAAACAAGGCCACATAGACTTTTTACGCGAATGGGGAGGGAGGTAGATGGGGTGGGGTGGGGTGGGGGGAAATAAGGCTGAGAGGAAACCACATAGAGCAACCTAAAATAAGGGTTATTTTATTGTCCAGCTGGCAATTTTGAGGGTCTCTAATACTGGTGCCTGCCTTTTCAATATGGAGTTTGAATGTATTGGGTACAGTACATTAAAGCTGGTTTCAATTTTGCACTGTAAAATGTCTTTAAAAGTATGATTAAAAGTTTTTTATTATTTATTTGGTGGAGGGGTTTCGTTTGTGCGGTGAAGGTGAAGAGTAGGCATTGTCCTAGGTCGGATGTCCCCAGGACCACCTGAGATGGTGAGACTCACAGACACCATTCACAAAATGGTGTCAGGCATTCAGGATAATCAATGGACGGATTTTAAGAAAAGAAAAGGCATTACTTTACTATTTGTAACCTACCTGGAAAGAAACCAGAGCAGTTGATTCCAAAACTACAGACACAAATAATTTAAAAGTAGATTTTCTTGCACACACAGCTTTCAATCCTTTTGTCTAAAGGAGGAAATCCTTTTATCAAAAAGGAAATGTGTGGGTATTTTTAATGGGATTTTATTATCTGATGGATTTTTAACTTTTGTTTAATGAATAAAATGCTCAGGTGTGACATGTGGATGAGTTTCAACCCTCATATACTTTATTATTCAAGAGAATTCCTGAATAGAATTAGCAGTTTATCGTATTATGTGCTCAACACACCCTGCTCCTCGTTCACAATCACTATTTACAAAACACAATGATCCCTCTTGCACATTCTGTGGTGGCAATTTCTCCTCTCGTTGATGGAATTCATGTTGCTTCCAGTGTTTTAATCCTAAACAATACAGAGGCCCTGTTTCAAATTATTGGCCTTTAAATCCATTCCTTTTAAGCCATTTTCTTGCAGCTACTGTTTTTTGCCCGACAGCATAGAAGGGAAAGCACCTTTGAAATGATTGTTGAGTTCTCGGCAGCAAGGCCAAACCCAGCCTGGCCACCTCCCTGTCTTGCATTCCCCTATCCATCATCCCCGGCCATAAGCAGCCATTGTGCTGCTGTGAGTGATTAAGATAACCTTTATTGTTTTTTTTTTTTTTACCGTGAGCACACTGGCACACATTAAAAACGAAATTTGGCTGCCTGCTCTCAAAAGAAAGCATACATAACGCTGTCCATTTTGAATGCATGGCGGAACTTCCACAAGGTTGATATTATATCGAACACAACTGACTGAATCTAGACGTTCAGCTTTGGAAGATCATGAAGCCAACTCCTAGAAGGTAACAAGGAAAGCAATTCATACAGAGGATGGGTGGCATCCTGGACAACACTGCGGACCTGCTCAAGTATCGCTTATATGCCATGCCCTGGATAGAAGGAAGTGAATCACCAATGACCTTTGCTGCTGTCCTCATCTCTCCCTGCATAGCCTCCTTGTCCTAAGCCCCTGATGGCGAGCCTATGGCACATGTGTGCCGGCACTCGAGCTGCAGGCAAACTTACCTCACTGCGCACGTGCGTGCCTCACAGCTGATTTTCGGCAGGCTTGAGGGCCTTTTCAACCTCCCAAAGGCTTGAAGAAGGCTTCTGCAGGCTTTGCTGGCCAAAAACTAGCCCTGTTTCATTACTTCCAGTTTTTCAGAAAATACCGGAAATGACGAAACGGGGCTAATTTTTGGCCTGCAGAAGCCTTCCTCAAGCCTTTGGGAGGCCAAAAAGGCCTCAACCCCACCGAAAATCAGCTGTGAGGCGCAGTGCAGGTAAGGGGGCAGCGGTGGGTGGGTGGGGGATTGTGTGCTTGCATAGGGGGGACACGCATTGCCTTGATGCTGGCACATGAGCGCGAGTGTGCAAGTGCATGCACAATTTTTGGTACAGGAGCCCAAAAAGGTTAGCCACCACTATCCTAGGCAGTAATGCTTCCAACCCATAGAACAGGATGCTCCCTCTATAGAAAGTGGGAAGGACAGTCTCACTGTTGAGTGACCAGGCTATTTATCCAGAACATCTGGAGAACAAAATGTTCTCGTACCAGCAACAACTACTTCCACACACATGGCAGTTCTGAGCATTTGTTATAGGAGGAAAACTTGATTTTGGAAAGTATTAAGGTAATCTCTATTCCAGATCAGATATTATCCAAATAGTACCAGGACCCGCAATACAAAAAAAATGGACGTTTTGAGTTGAATACTTTATTTAGCTAAATGGGATGAGACACACGAGGAATTTGTCTCTAGTACAAAAGCAGCACTGGATATACACGCAAAGCAAGAGAAAGAAGAATATATATAAAAAGGCAAGTAAAGACGATAGTGCAATGATCAGTAATAAGAGTACAGCCCCTTGTTTATGCAGCCCTCTTGTTAATAAATGAGAAATCCTGAGTGTGGCGGGGCATTGCATTAACTCCCAGCTGGCGAGCATACGGGCATGGCATGTTGGCTTGTAAGGTAACCTAGTTCGCAGCAGTTCCCAAATCATGGCCGCTGGAAGGCGGTGGACTTCAATTCCCACAATTCCTCAGCGGCCAAAGGCGGCCGCCGTTTCCGCTTTAAGCCAGGGGCGGGGCTGATCGTTGCACGCGAGGCCAGCCGGGCGGCGGACACCAATCAGGGGCCGCGTGGCCGCGACTGGGCGGGGCGTTGCCAGGTTTGGATCCGTTGCTTTTGGCGGGAAGAAGATGGCGGCGGCGGCGGCGGCGGCGCCGAAGGAGGAAGAAAGCGGCGCTCCTGCCGGGGCCCCTCCGGATAAAATGGGCCGCGAGCAGATCCTGGACTGCACGATCAATCAGTTCCTGCAGGCGCTGGACGCTGGAGGGTGAGAGGGCCGGGGGATGATGGGTTTGGAGTCGGCGGTTGGGAAACCTGAGGACCTGTGGACTACAACAGCTTTGCTGGCTCAGGAATTCTGGGAGTTGTAGTCCACACGTCCTCAAGTTGCCATAGTCCCCCTCCCCTGCTCTAAAGGAATGACGTAACTAGTGGGATTATTCCCCCCCCCCCGACGCTCCTCTCCTGCTTGAAGCCCCGCGGACTTCAATTCCCAGAATTCCCCAGCCAGCTCAGTCTAGCCAGGGCTCCCCAAGGGGGTCCCTATCGACCCCCCAAACGCCAGTGGGAGCATGCGGGGGGGTGTCAATAAATGATGGGGGGGGTCGATTGGCGGCGTCACCTTTGGGGGGCTGCTCCTTATACTGGAGTTTGAGTTCCTTAATACTTTTATCCTTAAGAGTTTAAGGTCCCCGCAGTTTCCCCCAAGGTGCCAAAGACTGAGACTCCAGACGAAGCTTGCAAAAAATAACCGCTTTTTTTATTCTTTGGCCAAAGCAAAAAGTCTGGGTGAATATTATGTCCAAACCATACGGACAACATGCATGTAAGGAATAGCCACACGCTGCGAGAGGGGCTCAGTATTATTATAATACGCATTTTACGGACAAAAAGTCCGTCGTTGATGCGGGCAATGCCTTGCCCTCCCCTTCCTTATCCGTGGAGCGTTCTTTGTCCGTGCTCTGCGCATACTTGGTTATTTTAACACCGTATCCCTTGTCCTTGTGTGCTCATGCTCCCAGGAAGGCCACCCCCTCATCTATGGAGCAGGATGTTCATGGGAATTGTCCTCCCAGGATGTGTCTAGCCCTGAAGCAAATTGCAGAGGCGAGAAACCAGAGAGAAAAGGATACAGTTCTCTTACAGCAATGAATTCCTAACAAATGACTTCCCTCCTTAATAAAATAGGACAAGCAACTTCTTTAACAGGTGCAGAGAACAAAGGTTAGATGGACTCATGTCGAAATGTCACGTCAAGAGTTGTGTGTCTGTAAGAGCTTCTCAGTCCCCATCCAGGCCCTGGTTGTCCCAAAGGTGCTTTTTTTCAAGAGGCAACTGGCCTTTCGGGTTTTTTCTTGGACGAGAAGCGAAACGACTTCAAAAGAAAAAAGCAGGAAAGTCCAGCTGCCGCCTGAAAAAAGCCCCTGTGGGACAACCAGGACCTGGATGGGGACTGAGAAGCTCTATGGACTATATAATTTGGGATGGACACCCTTGGAATGCTGTGGGAGCAGGAATGGATTTCCAGAGGGAAGAAAACTGCAGACTACAGGAACCATTTGCACCACTCAGGTAACCCTGAGGACACAGACAAACCTCCAAGTGGCCTCAGGGACTCTGAAAGGATGCAAATGACCAGCTGTCTGCAAGGAATAGAAATCCTTCCATTCCCCACCATCCAGTCAGAGCCGAAGAAGCTTCTTGGATGAGAAGTGAAACGCCTTCAAAAGAATAAAAAAGCAAGAATCTCCAGTTGCCTCCTTGAAAAAGCACCTTTGGGATATTACAGTGAGTTTTGTTGTTATTAGGGTTGATTGTTCAGTCAGCCAGATGTTTAGAACAGATTTGGCGTGGATTTGGCCTGTGAGCTGAAGAATTTGGTGATGTTTGGCTCATCTGCTCCATGCATCAGATGGTTATCAGCAGCTCACAAAAAACTCAGGTGTGTCATTTGGAAAAGGTGCTACCAGAGTAGATATTGGTAAACCCCAAACAAGTTTTGTTCTTCAGGAGGTTTTCAACTATGGGTTGACTTTGCGTATGAGAAAGGTAGAGGGGATGTTGGCCACCAAGTAGACTTCAACCACCAAGTGAGGTTTAGCATTATTCCTGAAAAGGAATATTTTGTGTTTTATAAACCTGATTGGCAGCTTCCCTTTTTTTGTCCCTAGATGTCACCTTTTCTCCAAGTGCTACAGCTGTCTCTACAAAGCCCATCCTGAATTCACAAAATGCGTTTATAATCAGTTCATATCCCATCTGCAAAATTCTGTACAGGTAAGTCTCAGAACATGGACATGAAATTACTCGCTGTAATTTCCTTCTTTCTTTTTTTCAGGGCAGCCAGTAGTTAGTTAAAAGCAAATATTCTCAATTTACAAAAAAAAATGATTAGGGGGCTGAAGACTAAAGCATGACAATGAATGGTTGCAGGAATTGGGAATGTCTAGTTTAATGAAAAGAAGGAACCATAATATTAATGAAAAGAAGGAACCATAAAGGCTGTTCATTTTGCAATCGGGTAGTCCCTGCAGATTTTACTCTGCTAATCATTGCCGACTTTAGGGAGCGCTGCTCACCTCCCTTTCAAGGCTATTGAGCCAGCGCTGTCTGGACATTTCCGCAGTCATGTGGCCAGCATGACGTCACGGAGCTCTGTTTCCTTCCCGCTGTAGTGGTACCTGTTTGCCTACTTGCATGCATTCGAACTGCTAGGTTGGCAGGAGTAGGAGGAAGATGGGATCTCAGCCCACGGTGTGGCGCTCCTGTCTCAAACCGAGGCTGCCGACTTTCCAGTCAGCAAGCCCAGCATCTTAACTGCTGCTCTGCCTCCATAATCATCCAGGCTGTGGTTTTAATCTTCTGATCTTTCAGAAATATCATTGGGTTTACATTTTAGGAAATCTTTTATTAAAATGTTTTTTGTTTTTTTTTACAAACAGGCTAGTTTCGAAAGCTAGTTTTACCCATTTAAATCATGGCATTCCTAAGTATAGAGTTTACCAGGACTAATTTAGAGTTGCCAACTTTACTAGTACTAAGCTGTATTTGGGCCCTATTAAGTGAGATATTTCATTTGATTAATACTTAAATCTGGAATAACTCTACTCTTAAAATTCATGGTAAAACTTTTTTTCTGGAAAGAATGGGTGCAAAACAATGTAATTACACTTGCTCCATTGTTGCTTAATTATAACTTTAAAAATTCTCAGCAAATACAGCCCTCTTTAAACCATCCATTCAGCTAAAATGTCTTTTGACAATTTAATATGGAGCCAATGCTTTAGCACTTTCTATTCTATTCGCCATGGGTGAATAGGCGGCAAGATAGATAGATAGATAGATAGATAGATAGATAGATAGATAGATGATAGATAGATAGATAGATAGATAGATAGATAGATAGATAGATAGATAGATAGTAAGTACCGGATTATTAATGCAGAACACTTAAATGTTAGAATCTAAATCTACTTGCACATTTTGTGAAAAGTTAAAGGAAGTATTCAAAACATCAAAAACAAATATACAAGAATTTTGGAATCAAAAACTGCAATTTCCAGTCGTTCCAAACCAACAGACTCAAGTCTTGAAGAATGTTAAGTTTGGATGTGGTGATTTAAAGTTGAAATTAATCTTCCAAAAGATTGTTTTTCATATTTATAGGATACCATCTAGAAAATTTTGGAAAGGATAGATTGATAATTGTTTGTGTTGGCATTGGAAGAAAATTGAGGGAACTTCAACTCATATTGTCAATGTTCCTTTTGGAGCAATGTTATATGCTAACAGAATTACCGGGAAAACTTTGGTTTTTAAAGACATGTATATTGTATTAAATTATATATCAGCTACTTGGAACTTACTATGACCTGAAGAAATATATTTTTATATTCTAGGAATACCACAAATTATTTGAGAAAGTTGCATATTCTGTCAACTGGAAAATCAACATTCTCTCTACCTTTGGGGAAAAAAAATTGGACAGTTTAGGGAATATTGAAAGCTTATTTTTCTGAGGTCAAGGAGCTAAAAGCTTCCTCTGCTTGCTTTGCTGTTCCTGCCGTTCTCTCTGAGAAATAGGAAGCGCCCCCCTAGCAGCATTTCCCTAACGGCTCAGAACTGAATTACTCGGAAAAGCATTTGAGTTCTGATCCCATTTATTCATGTATTTATTGGTTTTAATTTTTTATACTTTTGTTGCGCTTGTTATATTTTGTTCCATGCTTTGTTTCTAGTTGCTGATATTTTTCTGTGTGCGTTTTTGTGCAATGGATGAGCCCCAGGAGTCGTTTGATTGCAGCGGATAAATGCTTTCACTTGAAGCCGGCTGTCTCCCCCGGGGAAACGGCCTGTGTGCTTGCAGCTTCCTTCACGTGGCCCGTTTCACCCCTTTGATCCAGGCCTCACCAAGCATTTACGGCACTCCCATTGGCTGCCTTATAGAGCCGTACTCTGATTTTAAATTTCTGTTGATTTATTCGTATGCTGCCTTTATTAGGTTTACAAACAAGTGCTTCCCCCTCTGTTTCTCACCACAGCCCTTGGCTGGGCGGAAGGAGAGGGACTGGCCCAAACTCCCCTAGCTGTCTTCCACGCCTAAGGCAGAACCAGAACTCCCGGCCTCTCCCTTTCTAACCTGGCGCCGTTCTCTGGCTGCCAACCTTTTGCCGGGCAACCCAGGCGGCCTTCCTGCCACACAGCACTAGACTGCCTCTGTCCCCGCAGGAAGAGGTCCAGGCCCTCAAGGAGGAAGGGAACCTGCCGGTGCTCCTCAAGTCCCTGGATAAGCTGGAGAGAGAAGCCAAGGACAAGGAGGGCCCTGCCTGGTAAGGCTCCTTCACACGCAGCGGCATTCCCGGGACTCGCTCTGCAGCCCTTCGCAGTCTCCCTTCGCAGCCCCTTCTTGCTGCCCTCTCTGTTTCTGAGCTTTGGGACGGCTGGGGTCACGCCTCTCAGTCCAGCAACGCCCCGGGTTAACTGCAGAGGGGTGGCCTGGCCCCACTGCAGAATGCGGGGTGGGAGCTTGTCCCGTGCCTTCTCCTGCCGGGAGAGTGGGTGGCCTTGGGGCAGGACTCCTGACGTGCGCCTTCTCTCTGAATCCAGGCGCCCCACTGGCATCCCCGAGGAAGACGTCCGCGGGGCAGTCGTGCCCTACCTCCTGAAGCAGCGCAAATCCCTCCAGAAATCCCTCCGGGAAAAGCAGGAGCGCAACTCCCAGCTGGCCGCCACTGTGCTGGCCGGCCGGCAGAGGATTGCAGAGCTGCAGGAGCAGATCCGCCGGCAGAAGGAAGAGTGGCAGGTGGGGCGTCGCCTTGGCATGCAGTGGGCAATTCACAGGGATCGTTGGTTAGAGTGTCCAGTGGGCCCTTGAAATGCAGGTGGGGGTCCTCGACTTTTATCCATTCCGTTAGCGATCTTTTGAAGTGCACCTGGGAGTAGCCCCTCTTTTCTCTGCAGAGCCTCTTGAGCCTCAGCCTCAGCGACTTCCAGAAGAGGGGACGTGTGCTCCCCGTGGCGGCTGGGGGATTCTGGGAGTTGAAGCCCAACCCTCAACGTCGCAGGGAGTGGGGGGAGGCCGCTTCCTCTTACTCAAAGGCTGTTCTGGCAATGGGCTTACTCTCTCCTTGCTCTCCTTTCAGGGAACCGCTGTCGAAGGCCGGAAGAGGATGGAGACCTTGGATGACGTCTCCTGAGGAGACCTGGCTGCTTTTCGGGGGACGCGAGGATGTGAGGGAGACCTCAGCCACACAGTGAGCCTGGGGGTTTTCTGCCAGGTTTCCAGAGCAGCCCCTTCCCCTCTTGGCTTGACCAGGGGGCGGGGTGCACGTGTGACCATGCCCTTATTTTTATTCCAATATCGCGGCGGCTCCTGCGTTGTCCTCCTTTCCCTCGGAACATTCCTTCCGCAAGCTCTCCGGTTCAGCAGCCATGGACTTACGCAAATACGGGCGCCGGAGGACCAGCAAATCATAGAATCAGACACCGAGTGTCCCTTCGTAGATGGCACCTAGGCTCACGTTTCCAGTTCTAAGTTTGGACCTCTTAAAAGCTGTTGAAAAAAATACTGGGCTAGATGGTCTCCAGGCTCCCTTTCGTTCTTCAGCATCTTTTCTGACCTCCGGAGAGCTTCTTCTCGCCCTCAGCCGTCTTTCTCTCGGGGCTCAACCAGCTTTTTTCAACGCCCTGATGAGCTTTTATATTTAGACTCCTGGTCATCTTTTCTCGCCTTTTTTTTTCCAAACTTACCTGAGAAAGGAGGTCCCTGGCTTTCACTGACCCCCTTTTTTGGGTCTGGGAAGCATGGAAGAGATTTTGCTAGGAGAAGACCTTAGAATGATTAGAGTGAATTAGAATAGAATCGAGCCGGAAGGGACCTTGGAGGTCTTCTAGTCCAGCCCCCTGCTCAAGCAGGAGAACCTACACTATCTCGGGTCACAGGCTGCCTGGTTTCTTCTTCTCCTTTAAAAAAGACCCCTGCCTCTTCTGCAGAGTCCTTCGTGCGGCTCTTCGGGGTTATTTATGCTATTATCTATCCGATTTATTTGCCGTCTGGCTCACATTTCAGGCCACTGAGGGGCTTCTTGGGTTCATGGGAGAGGATCACCCCCAGGGTCAAAGCTCCCGAGAGCTTCTGGTTCTGGGTCCTAAATGCCTGCCCCGTTTGGCTTTGAGGCCCAGAGCTCTTGGAGCCAGTGAGGCGGCCCAAGACTGGCGCGCGCGGACTCTGCTGCCCTCCAAACATCTGCTTTCGATCAAAGGGAACGGGTTTGGGAGGGAGGCCGACCCAGCTCAGGACTCCGTCAACAAAGCCCTGAGGTCCTGATGGCTGTAACGCGAGATGCCAGCCAAGGCAGAATCGCCGGCAGGCCCACGCGGGGCTTCCTGGGGCCGGTGGGAGATGCCCAAAATGGCTTTTGCTGCCCCCCTTTTTTTTTTTGGCTGGGCTTCTAGCAGTCGGGGAGCGGTTGAGGCCTCGCCGAAAAAGCAAGTTGATGTTGCTTCTCTTGAAGGAAGCAGTCCTACAGCAGATTTTTTTATCTTTATAATCAGGTTTTTTTTATTTCAATCTACACACAACAATGCATTAACAGTGTCGTCAATATACATTTCAGTATAGGTAAACGTAATACCAGTCCTCTCTCTTAATACACATATTCACGTTAAATCAAAATCCTTCATTGCTTATTTGCAACATTTCAATACTCTCTCCTAGTGCCAACCACCATGTCAGTTAAACATACCCAGTAATTTCATTATCCAATTCCCTCCTCGTTCTTTTCCTTTTTAAATAAAAAATGCTCATTTGGCAGGCAATATGGTTCCAGGTTTCACATCTCAGTACAAACATGACCATAGTTGGCTATTCATTTTGTTTGTTCAACTTCATATCACATTAACCTTATTAGTATTAAATATTACATTTATCTTATCCAATTCCAATTCATGTTATAACTCATTTCATTTTTCTTAGGATATTCTCATACCTTTTTTTACAATGTTATCTAAAGTTGACCTACAGCAGATTGAAGTTCCCCACTAACAGCCCCGCAGAATACTGCTCACCTCTTCCAGTTTAGCTAGAGATCCCAAATTTAGCAATATTACCTGGAGATTTCTCTGTTTTCAAGCTCTCCTAGTTCATATTTTGCACCTCCTTTTCCTCCAGTTTCCTCACAAACCTATATTTTGGTATCAGATCCTCACATTTGAGAACTACCAGGTGAATAACGTTCTTACCTATCGTAAGAGGTAAGGATTATCTGCCTGCTAAGCCCTAAAAAGATGAACTGCAGTTAATGCAGCCAACACGTTTGCACGTAGCTGCTAAATGTTGAATGGACTTGGATCCCAAAGTCCTGGCAACCACAGCTCTATAAAATGTGCACACAATTGTCTCCTTCCTTGGGAAATCTCCATGGCTGTAAGTTGCAGCCGCCTATATTTTTATTTCAATGTAATGAATAGCCACCAGATGGTAAACCTGGACAGGAGGGGAACAGTCTTGCCTGTCCTGAAGGCAGAAGGTGAAGCAGTGGGTGGAAACGAGGAGAGAAGCAACCTAGAACGAAGGAGAAACTTGGAACGGGACAACCTGGAACAGCTTCCTTCCAGAAGCTCTGGGTGCCCCGTCACAGGTGGCTTTTAAGAAGAAACCGACAGCCGTTTGTCTGATGGTAGAAAGCTGTGAGGGGAAACCCTCTCTGGCCATGGCGAGCCATCGCCCCAGCTCAGTTCTGCTGCACACTTGTGCAGGGGGAGGGGTGCATGCATAGGGATGCGCGTGCATACATGGGAGATGCTTGGGGATGCGTGCATATTGCACTTTTGGGATGCACACGCTCTGGGCGCTTGGTGCTGAAAAGGTTAACCATCACTTTATAGGGTTTCCTGCCTGAGGAGGGGCTGCACTAGTGCAGTGGTCGCCAACCGGTAGAGAAAATTTTGGTGGTCCACAGAGAAATCCTCCCCCCCGCCCAAAGCAATTAATCCAGGCTGCACGGGGACACAAGGCTGCGCAGCCCACATGGCCCGCTCACTCCTTACCCGGCAAACCTGCCTGCTAAATTGCTATTTCCCTTTTTTTCCCACCGACCATCAGCTGTTCTGCTGTGCCAGGAGATTTAGATGAGCTAGAAAGCAGGAAATGGTTGGACTTCTTGCTTTCTAGCTCGTCTTTAAGCAGAGCCGAACCTCCCTTAGGACCGAAGGTTCCATTTGTCAGTTGTTAGACTCCGGTAGCCGATGGCAGAAACACAGATCTCTAAGTAAACCTGTGATTCTGAGGAACTCAATCTGCCTGCCTGCTTTGCCTGAGTTGGGGTAAAAGTTTTGTTTCTTTATAAAAAAATTCAATATTGACATAAACATTTATACTATTTACATACAAGCCACGCCCAGCCAGTCACATGGCCACTAAGCCATACCCACAAATCAGGCCCTGCCCAAGAATTGGTTAAGAAATTTGAATCCCACCCCTGTGTTTGTGTGTGAGGGGGGAGAATGGGAGGGAGGGAGAGGTTAGATCAGATCTCTCTTCTTTCACCAACGTCAGCAAGCCACAACTGGCCAAAATTCATATTAGTGGCCCCCCTGGATTTAAAATTATGAGTTTGGTGGTCCCCAAGGTCCAAAAGGACTAGAGCCCCACCAAGGCCCCTTCCAACTCTTATTCTGTATTCTGCACCCAAGGCCTCTTGGGGTCAAGCCTGGTGGCCCCTTGAGCCACCAGCAGTGGACATTTAAGGTTCCTTCAGGCTTCTTCAGTTGCATGTTGGAGCCTCTCCTATTATGTTAGCTCAACTATTTGATTACATTTGGTTGAAATCACTACCTTCTGCTCCCAATAATTCAGAGCGGTTTGCATTTCCGTTCCCAGGCGGCGAAGGCGGCCACCTTCATTAGGACAGCTGAACTCGTAGTACCAAATGGTTGTTTTGGAGTTTTGAGCATCCTCCAGGCTGGGAGGGGGAACAGTGGCTGCTCTCGGTGCCACGTCTGCCTCGAGGGACGTGTGGGGTGGATGGAGGCGCAGGCCGGGCCTGGTATTCGGCTGGCTTGGCCCCCACTTGCTAGGCAGGATAAAGTGGGGCCAGGAAATTCATCGTTTTACATCTCCGGTTGTGTTTTGCGCCTTGCAAACTCGGCCAGAGGCCCGGGGTGAATGGGAGGCCCCCCCAAAGAAGCCCTGCATTTGGGGAATGAGTAACGTCCAGCCGTCAAAGCCCAGCCTGTCATTATTCTTCCTCTCTCGGGCACCGCCCAGGTTTGAAGCGGAGGAAAACAGGCCCACGTGGCATTCAGAGCGGCGACTCGGCACCGGCCGGGGCTGGGCGTCTGATGCAAGGGAGCCCCCCAGTTTCCTCTCCCCGGATCTGGAAGCCGTCCCAGGGCTCAGAGTTCAGCCGTGCGGCTGCCCCGGACAGGATGCCAGGCGGGGAAAGGACGAGGAAGCGGCGACTGAAATCACAGGCTTCCCTCGCTTTGGCCCAGGCCCGATCTGCACAAACCCTGCGGGTAATTGCTGGTAATTACAGCCCCAGGGCCTTTCCCCCTCCTGGCCTCACTCCGGTCCAGCGTTCTTGGGCCAAAGGCCAGCCCCCTTCCTCTGGGTCCCTGTCCCACGAAAACCGGTGCCACCCTGAAACGAGACAAGCGCAGGGGCTGCACTCTGCGCTGTCCGTCTGACGGTAACCTCCGTAGCTTCCAAGCGGGAGGAAAGATGGAAGCCGGCCAGTTTAACCAGTTTTGGTCCAGAGAACCGAGCACCAGCTGTCAGGTGAGGCTCCGTTCAAAATCCAAGAAAGACTCCGTTGTTATGGAGGAAAGGACTTCAAAGTGGTAGCATCAGAAGAATTCAAGGTCTGAGGCATTCGGCGTGAAAATACAGCTATGGCAATGTGTCCGTCCGTCCCCGTCCCCCCCAATAATTCAAACTGGCCATCCAACCTGAGACGTGCATAATGTCGTGTGGAGCATCTTCAGGTCGTGTTTCAGACCTCTGGCTCGCCAGGACGGTTGGCCTCGGCCTGAATGGATAAGAAGCCACAGCTGCCCGCAGTAAGCAGAGTCAAGACTTAAGTTTCCTCAAGTTTTACAGCTCACTTTCTCAAGCCTCCAGCACTCTTGCCCCCCCCCCCCCGAAGCCCAATTCATCCCCCCCCCCCCGTTTCTATGGCAGCCAGAAAGACCGGCAGAAGGAGGATTCCTGGAGGTTGACCCCAGGAGTCCTTGCCCTCAATGGAGCCCAACTTATGTGTTGCTAAGCGAGGCATTTCGTAAGGGAAGAATTTTAGGACCTTCCTTGCCACCGTTGTTAAGTGAATCACTGCAGCTGTTAAGTTAGTAACACGGTTGTTAAGTGAATTCGGCTCCCCCGTTAACTCTACTTGCCGGAAGGTCACAAAAGGGAATCACATGGGCCCAGGAGACACTGTGGCCGTCGTAATATGAGCCAGTTGCCGAGGGGTGGAAGTTCCATTCCACGGCCACGGGGAGGCTGCAACGGCCGTAAGTGTGAAAAATGGCCACAATGTAACTCTGGACGGTCACTAAATGAACAACCTGTACTTCAAGGTTGCCTCAGGGATCACCTTTTCTTTCCAGGTTTCCGCCTTGCTAACAGACTCCCCATTCTGCCATCGGTTTCTCTCGGTTTTCTAGTCAAGTTTTTTAAAATAATATTTTAATCTGCATGGTTTTAAGGTGTTTTAATTATTTTTATTTCGTTTATAACGTAAGTCACCCAGAGTCACCTTGTAGATGTGTGGCACAACATTTTAATAAGGAAGGAAGGAAGGAAGAAGAGAGAGAAAGAAAGAAAAAAGAAGGGAAAGAAAAAGGAAGGAAGGAAAGTAAGTTTAGATGGACACTTGAGATGCCATTACAGGAACAGGTTACATTACAGGTGCCTGAAGAACCAGGATGGGCAAAATCTTTTGGGTACCACATCAACCAATCAAGATGTGCAATAAAATAAAAGCGGCAATTTAAAAGGAAATTTGTTTTTTTTTCTTTTCTTTTCCTGAGACCAATTCTTGAAAAAAAGATACCAAGCAACTGAAAGGGCACAGAATGAAATGATAGCAATGCCTAAATCCAGGCAGTAAAATAATAAAAAACATTGATCAATAAGGCCCATCATCGACGTTAGAAAGCCCCCAACTGAGTGCCCTAAAAGTCACCCTGAGTTTGAGCGCTTCAACTTTGGTGGGTTTTCTGTGGAAATCCCGGCTGGACAGGAGCGGCCCTGGGAGTCCAGCCTCTGCCCCTGGCAAGGCCGGGAGGGCGCCGGTCCCCGGAGAGGCAGAGCGCAGGGCAACCTCCGATCTTTGGGCAGGACAGCCAGGGAGCCGAAGGGGCCAACCGGGGACTTGCAAGGCAGGTGGGCATGCGGGGGACCTGGCCTGCCACCCCTCCCCGGCCACCTTCCTAGCCCAGAGGGCACCCTCGGGATACAGTCAAGAGGGCGGAACGGAAGCCCCGTCCCCGCACACACATTTTAGGGAGGCTTCCGTCGCACCTGGGCGTGTCTCTTGGGTGATGCTCAAGGTCCAGAGGCCCCCAATCTTGGCAACCTTTAAGCCATGGGGGGACTTCAACTCCCAGAAATCTCCAGCCGGCCCTGCTGGCTGGCTGGGGGGGGCGGGGGGAATCTGGGAGTTGAAGTCCCCCCACGTCTTGAAAGTTGCCAAGTTTTCCTCCACTTTTGCAACTTTTTAGGACGAGTCTGGAAGGAGCCCAGACAACTTCCAAGCTGACCTCTGCGTTTCCCTCCAAAGAAAACTCCCTCAACTTGTTCGCCTCCCCTTACGCCCCACCTGGGAGGAGGCGTCTCCCCCCCCCCCCCCCCCCCCCAGGGCCCGGCGCCCCCCCCGGGCCCCCCCCCCCCCCCCCGCCCCCCAAAAACTCCGCGCTTGGCGGGGCTCCCGCCTTTCCCCGCCTCCCCCGGCCCCGGAGCCTGGCAGCTTTCCCGCAACGCCCCCGGAGGCCGGGCGAGGATAAAGGGGGCGCCGGGCAGCCGAGGCCAGAGACCCGCCCGGAGCATCCCAGCCCTCGCCATGAACGTCCTTCTGCTGGCCGCTCTCTGCGCCCTGGCCGCGCTCGGCCTCGCCCGGCCAGGTAAAGGGGGCGAGGGTCTCCCCGGGGGCCCCGGGACGAGGAGAGCCGCTTGGGGAGGGCGGGCAGGAGGAGAGGGGCTTCTCCCGCCGGCAGCGCCCTTCCCTCCTTGCCCCCCCCCCCCCCGCCCCCCCCCCCCCCCCCCCGCCCCCCCCCCCCCCCCCCCCCGGCCAAGGCTGCCCCCCCGCTGGGCCGCCCCCCCCCCCCCTCCTCTTTTGCAGAGGTCGAGCACGCCCGGAGGGCCGACGGGCCGCCCAAGTCGGGAGGTGAGTCGGAGCACCTTCCCTTACGACCCCCCCACCCCGGTCCCCCCCCACCCCCCGGCCCAGAAGGGGAGCAGCCTTGAGGCGCCTCCGGGCACCTGCCGGCACCTTCAGCCTTTGCAGATTCCGGGCGCCCCTCTGGCGCTGCCCCCTTGGAGGGCGGAGGGGGGGGGTTTCTCCTCTACATGGAGCCATGCCAGGCAGAGACCCCCCCTCACCCAGCCCCTGCCCTGCAAGTCGGGGGCGGCGCCCTTTGGCCCGGGCTTGAAGCGCGAGAGAGAGGGGAGGGGGGACGGGACAGGAGCGGTGATGCCCCCTCACCTGGCTCGGGTGGGGAGTGGGCTGGGTGCCCTTTTCTTGCCCCGCTCTCTGCAGGGAGGGTTTAAGAAGAAGCCGGCCGCCTCTTCCTTCTGCGGACCCCATGAGGACTAGAACCGGACAAAAGCCTCCCAGTTGGAAGCAAAGGGTTTCCCAGTTGCCCCCCTTCCTCCCCTGTCCTAAACACCCCGCTCCTTCCCCGCAGCTTTTGTCTCCAAGCGAGAGGGGGCTGAAATCGTGAAGCGACAGAAGAGGAACTACAACAGGTACGGGAAAGGGGCCGGCCGGCTGACCCACCCTCTCCCCTCCCTCAATTTCCCAGGGGGATTCAGTCTGCAACCCCCCTCAATTCCCAGACCACCACCCCCCACCGCCCCCTTGCAATTGGACTCCATGGGCACTTCCACATTGCTGCGAGAAGCCCCAATTTGGGGGTTTGGGTGGGGGCGTCAGAAACCTTGAGCGGAAGGACCCTTTGAGGCCATCTAGCCTAGCCTGCTGCCCAGAAGGAATCCTGGTTAAAAGCCAGACTCTCGTTTGCAAGAAGCTCTGGCTGAGATTCTAGAAGCAGCCGGGTTCAAGAAATGGGGCTGGGGCCTCAAAATGGAGAGAAATCTCCCCCTTACCCAGGGCAAGAAACGGGAGCCCTTCGCTCTAGGAGGAAATCCAGGGGAGGCAGAGGCTGGTTTTGGCGGGGGGGGGGGGGAGAGAGAGAATAGAACAGTTGGAAGGGACCTTGGAGGTCATCTAGTCCAACCCCCTGCTCAAGCAGGAGGCCCTATTCCACTTTGGACAAATAGCTATGCAGTCTCTTCTTAAAAACCTCCAGTGACAGAGCAGCCACAACTCTGGGAGGAAAGCTGATCTATCTATCGTAGCCATCTATCTTCTCACCCTCCATCCATCCATCTATCTATCTATCTATCTATCTATCTATCTATCTATCTATCTATC